AATGTGATTTCTGGGTCGGAAATGTGATTTCTGGTTCCCAGAAATCGTTTTTCTAGATTATCTCGTTTCTAGTCCCATAAATGTGATTTATAGACCGGAAATCGATTTCTGGGACAAGGAATCGATTACTTGACAAGAAATCGATTTCTAGTCCAGAAATAGATTTAAATGTGATTTCTGGACAAGAAATCGATTTCAGTCCAGAAATAGATTTCATGGTTAGAAGATTTCTGGTTAAGAAATCGATTTCTGGACAAGAAATCGATTTCTGGATCAAAAATAGATTTCTGGGTTAGAAATGTGATTTCTGGACAAGAAATCGATTTCTGGACCAGAAATTCAAATACGGGACAATAAATCGATTTCTGGACCAGAAATAGATTTCTGGGTTAGAAATTGAATTTCTGGTCCAGAAATCGATTTCCTGTCCAGAAATCACATTTCTAACCCAGAAATTGAATTTCTGGTCCGGAAATCTATTTCTGGACCAGAATCTCAATTTCTGGACCAGAAATCTATTTTGAAATTGTTTGTCATTATTTCTTATCCCAAAAATCTGTGTGATTTCAAAAATCATTTTATAAACCATTTTATTTGATTTTTTATAAACATTGATTACTTAATTCTCAAATAATTATTTGAAATTGTTTGTCATTAAATACTTTTATCTTTGGTTTACAGATGTGTGAAAAAGTTCGAATTGTGCATAGCGGATTTTGGGATGAGAATGTTTATAAAAATGGACAGGCAGAGATGAACTTTATGCGCTTGGGGAGTTTATCGTATGAAGACTTTTTAAATAGAGTTAATGACATTGTTGGTGGAGACAAACACACATGTGAGTATCGATTTCACTTCTTGATGGCGAATGAAAATGGAGAGTTGGAAAAATGGAGAATTTCTTGTGAATCTGACTTGCACAATTTGGCCGAATTGTTCCAAGTACCTACTATATATGTTACCTTGTTTGCCAAAGATCGTGGAGTAAGTGGATTTTCTACTCAACCACCAACCAACTTTCATTCTTTTGCGGGAGGGGGGCAAGGAGGATTTTTGAACTTAATTTCTGCTCAAGGTCAGTCGTTTTATCCATATGGTGTTACCGTTCCATCTCTTGCGAACTTACATTGGCAAAGCAACCCAAATGTTGGTTTTGGTAACAATATAGTGCAACATTCCGCTTCTCGAGCTGTTGAAAGTGATTTTTCAAACCATGTTGATTGGGGTAAAGATAGTACATTTGATGGTGAGGATGATGGTTGATATTATGATAATTTGAATGA